CCATGATTTAGTCAACCAATCTCCTACGGATTGACATGTGACTTCTTTCTAATCTTTAGCTCTTACAAATATTGCCACAACAAATAATCTCTTGTGTGTGTTTTTGTATTTGTGGAGGTGCGTCTCTGGTCAGGTCTCAAAGTGTGATTGTGGGTCAAAGGGTACATTTCATTAGACAGAGCCAAATTCTCCCCCACTGGGGCTGCACCATTCTATCCTCCTATGGGCAACATAGGAGAATGCTTTTTTTCCACAGCCCTGCCCATAGAATGCTCTCAATCTTTCAATTTTTTTTTTTTTTTTTTTTTTTTTTTGCCCATTGGACAGGGGAAAATGATATCTCAGGAGAGCAGCATTTTTCAATTTAATCCTGGGCTGCTCAGCTAAGATCCCCCCAAGTTCCCAGTGGAGGAGGTGAAAGGAAACACAGAGCAATCCAGCCCCTCCCTGAAGGTGCTGACAGATGTCTGCACAATGAGCTTTTTCTCCTCCCAGAACAGCCCACAGAATGTTCTGAGACTGGCAAGCAGTGAAGAGCAGAGCTGGAAATTCATACTTGGATCTCCTTACTCCACCTTCGTAGGAAAAGAATGCATGTCACTGCCAGGGCCTCTGCTAGCCCCAATGTGCTTTAGTGCAAATGAGAGAGGGCCCCCCCACTTCCTTCCTGAACCAGGGCTTGTGGCTTACAGAGTATGAACCAGAGTTCAGCTCCCACCTGCCCCCTTTGACTGAGCAACCCCTGCGCAGTGCTCAGCCTGAATGACTGTATGTGGTGGCCCGGACACTGATGTCCCAGAGGTCAACCTCTCAGATATCCCCACAGGAGGACAGGAGTCCTTGTGGGGAAGGAAGAGAGAAAACATAAAAAAAAAAATCACTTCCTATACTGATATAGCACTTCTCAAGTGAGAAGCACATTTGCACACGTGATCTCCCTTAATCCTCACAAGAACATTGCATGGCGCCGAGGAAGGCAGGGTTCCAACACCACCATTCTCTCGCACCCAACAAGCAAAACAATTTGCCCACATTCCCACAGTCAAAACACACACCAGCAGCTCCCAGGTCTCATAATGCCTGGGAGATAGTATTCCTTTGACCAGTGTCTGTCTGTCCGCTTACATGCCTATCTCCCTCCCTTGCTCTCTCCCTCCTTCCTTTTCCTTTAGAGTAGAATCCCAACCTTTCCTTTTTCTTTTTCAAGAAAAAAGTTTCTCTGAATGCTCAACACATAAAACAAAGCTGTCTTAGTTGAATTGGGAGGAGAGGTCTACACCTCCCTCCTAAGCCCCCTCTCGGGTCCTGTAGCACCTCTTGAGGCCCCTCTAAGGGAACAGAAAAGTTCAAAAACTCTGGACTATACTTAGCTATTTCCCTATTATTACCACATATGACCTTTGGGGTCTCATGATTCAAAAGCACATGGATTTTTCTTCTTCATAGTACACGTCAGCTCCCCTCATCAAGCGCGATCAACATATAGACTTTATATATACATATATATACTACCTATGTGTACACACACACACCCCATTTGCTCTTGCTCTTCCTCCTAGAAGGCACTCAGTCCATAAAAGGAACCATCCAAATATTCTCTCCTCCTAGCCCAGGCCTTTGGCTCTCTGCAAGGCCAGTCAATTTTGGCTCCAGAAACGAGCAGAATTCCAGAGCTCAGGATGAGCAGGATGGTTTGTGGGAATGACGGCTTCCTTGAGGAGAATTACAGCTAAAACTCCAGGCTAGTCTGAGAGAAAGCTGTGTTCACACTTGGCTGGCTACTGTCCTGGGGGCGGTGGAACTATTCCCCAGCAGCCCTGCCCACAGCGCCCTCCTAGCCAGGTCACCTGGGCACTGCCAAGGACTTGACGGCAGGGCTGTCCCCAGGGCAGAGTGTGAACACAGTGTGTGCTCACAGGCTCTCAGGAAATCTGCCGCCAGACTGGGTGCATGGCAGGAAGCTCGTGGGTGGCCTCTCACACAGGGGCAGTTAGCTCTCTGTGGCCACAGGTCCTCCCAAGCCCATTCTGTGGCTCCTCAACAGGACAAGCCCTCCCAGCATCTCCCAGTCCCAGGACAGGATCTAGATCTCTGAAGGGCCAGCACTAGAATGTGTCAGACCCTACATGCCATGGCTTCAGCCTCAGATCTAAAACCCTATCCTGACCTGCACCGGGTGAGAGGGCCATGGCCTCCCCTTCCGGCCGCCCCTCCACGTAAGGAGGCCCCCCTGGCAGCTCTCTCCTCGTTGCATACAAAGGGGACAGCGGCTGGGTCTGTGGGGAAAAACAGAGTTTTCCCAGGAAAACTGGCCTAAGAGACAACAGAAAAGCAGGGCTCTCTCCATGGCGGGGCTACTCATTTCCTGCCCTCTTGTGGTGTTTCTCCTTCGTTTTGCCAGACTGCAGAAAGAGCTCAAAACTTGCATGTTGAGCTTAAGGCTTACTGACAGGAAAAAAAAAATCGTATCATTAACATCACCACCTCAACTAAAACCCTGGCTGACTCATGTCAGAAGAAAAAGAAAGCGGGTTTAGGAATAATAAGCCAAGAATGAATTTCCTACATGTTGCAAGTTTTCAGAACCTTAAAGAAAACAGATCTGTGCTCCTTTCAACCGCCTTATACAAGGAATGTGGGCAAGAACTTCACCCAAGAGAGAAGGAAGGGGGCCAAGGAAGAGAAAGACCCAAATCTCCTTGAACAAATGGCAAAGGATAGGTGCCCTGCAAGGACTGAAGGACTTATATTTTAACAAATAAAAGGAAGAAAGGAAAAATGCACAACGTGCTGGTTTAGAGAGAAAATTCAGTCATAAGTTAGAGTGTGTGGGATGGAGGAGTGAGTGAGAAGAGAAATACCGAGCCTCCCCAGCCTTGGTCACCTGGCTGCCTGGGATGCAGAGAAATGCAGCAGGGGGGGGGGGGCAGTGGGGCAGGGAAGCTACTAGTTTCATGAGAGGTGGGAGGTGACCCTGAGGGTCAGCTGAGTAAGGAGCCAAACCCAAGGCAGTCGGTTGGTGAACTTCAAGAAGCAGAAAAAGTAAGTGGGAAATCTGGGCACTAGCCAGCCCAGAGAAGCCAGGAATGGATTTTTCTAAAAGAGATACACCAGGAACTTTTTTTTTTTTTTTTTTTTTTTTTAAGAATAAGCCACAGTTCACCATAGGCTCAGGAGGAGCAAAGAGACAAGGCTGCTGCAAGAATGAGATTCATTCTGGAATGACGGAGAGAGGGAGAAGAGCCAATTTGCATACTTCAGGCAAGGAGAAAGAAAACATTTTTGCAGCTGAGATTTGGGTCAGATGATCTCTGCCCAGTAGAGCTCTGCCCGAGGTGATCCAAGGCCTGTTCGGAACAGGCACCCAAGCCAGGGACAGAAGGCACTGACCTTAGAAAATCACATTCGAGAAGGAAAGAAAGCAGTGCTCTTGGGGCAGGGATAGGGCCGGGCTGCCTGGTACAAAAAAGTTCCTTACAGAGCCTAGGGAAGCAGGGAAATTCAAGGCAGGGGCTGTTGCCAGGCTGGATGCGATTTAAGGAATTCTGTATAATGTGATAAGCCCAAGAGGATGGAACCAGCAAAGATTCCAGACCCTGGTTCTGTTCATTTACAATGAACACAGGGCAGCAGGGGTGCTAAGGAGTTGGGGGAAGTGAAGAAACAAAACTTTGGATTGGGCTGTCCAGTGTTGTCAAGAGAAGCTCAGACAATGACGAATGACACTTCCATCAGGGAGGAAGATGGGAGATAACTCTTGCTTCCTGGCCTTTGCACATGCTGTTTCCTTAGTCTGGAATGACCTTTCCCTCCTTTTTCTGGCTCTCACTCTTTAAGCCTCAGCTTGAGGATTTCCTCCTCTAGGAAGACTTCTCTGGCTTTACTATTCCTCCCCACCCCACCCAAGCTGGGCTAGGGGTTCCCATACCACCCAGGATTTACTCCATTGTCTGCTAAACTGGCTCCCTACTAGTCATGACTGTCTTTTGTTCCGGTTGTATTTCTAGGCCCTGGTCCCTTACCTAGTGCAGTGGAGGGCCCAACAAATGCATGCTTGTTGGGAGGGCAACAAATGTATGAGTAGGAGCTTGCAGCTGGGGAATTCTGGGGCTCTCTGGGTCTAAGTGCCCAAGATCCTGGAGCAGACTCCAAAACAGAAGCTCCGCAGGACATTAGGAGGCCACTGATCACCACATCCAGTCAAATCCTGCTCTCTAAACCCAGTTCAAAGCCAGAGTGCCACGGGCCACAGAGGTCTGTGCTGGGGGCTGTGGTACTGACTTCCTGGGGCTCACAGAGTGCTTCCTCCACTCTAGAGCTAGACGGCAGATGGAACTGGGGCGGAACGGGGAAAGGGTAATAAGGAGGGAGAATTCCAGAGCTGGAACTGGGAGGAAGGCCTGTTCAGAGCACAGCCAACAGGGACAAACCAAATACCTTCCAAGACTATTAGGAAGATTGCGTAGAAGGAGGGGTAAGAACATGCTCTGTAAATTGGGATGTGATTTATTACAGGGAAATGGGTTTGGATTAGGGTCCTCAGACAATATTTTTTTGCCAAAATACTACATAAAAAAAAAGATAATTAGGATATTCTAAGAGCCACTCAGTGTTATCTGTATTCTTCCAACTTTTCTAAAAAAGCAGCAGCCTTTTTGCTTCACATCATAATTTCAAGTGCTTTCCTAGGCCCTCTTTCCCAGCAACTACTGTACAGTCGCTAGACAGAGTTGCCCATGTGTGCTGGTAAATGTTTCACAGCTAACTCTTGAGATGGAAAAAGACAAAGAAAAGATCTTGGCATTTGCCAATTTCTGCGGTGTAAATACTCCTGCCTTGGCTGATTTCAAGCTACCAAGGGGGAAGGCACTGAATGCAGTTGGAAAGAGATGTCGATACGAGCCAGCCCCAGCACATTGCTGGCTCTAAGACACACATCAACACCCATCCTGGCTTCCTATGGACACAAGCTTGAGACAGTGACTCTGCACCTACCTCTCTCAAAGGAATTTTTTATGTCATTGACTTCAACCTGAGATCCTGGTACTCGGAAGATCCCTTGCTGCTGGAGTCCTAAAAGAAACAAACAAACAGAAAATGCCATGATGCCTTGAGCTCATCAGACCGCTGGGGACATTGATGGTTCTCCCCATTGCTTGTCTTTTTCTCCCACCACTCTTTACGAGAGTCGTTCCCAATAAAGATCTCCCGGCAGAAGCCCAAACGTAGCCTTTGCAATGGACTTCAGCTGGCCAAAATACTCTGCACCATCCTGTTTCATGTGTCTGTGATCTCTTGTTGGGGTTTGAAGGAAAAGGCCATAAATTAAGGTTGATATCCACACGGGACCAGTGAATAACAACTTCCAATGTAGCCAAGGTGCACTTTGCCTACCGAGTCTGCCAGGGACACTGGCACCAAGGAGCTTGACCTGAGTTTACAAATGCCATTTCAGTGTAACAGCCACAGAGATTTTGAACAAGAATGATCAATATCATTCATTCGACCATTTCCACCCCCTCCCTATACAGACACCTTCTTCTTTCCAGGAAAGCTCAAGTCTAGAGTACATGCTGGCCTGGGATCAAGGAGCTTGGGGGACATCAAGTTATTATAGAAAAATAATACTTTTTTAAATATGCTTCTACAAGGCCATAACAAGGAGGAGACCCCGATAGCTGACATAACAGTAACAACACAGGATCAGAACCTATAGGGCTGAACAGTAACCTATGGAATTGAAGGAATTAAAGGGCCTCTCTCACCTTGAATGGGAATTCACGGGGTGACTGTGATCTCCCTCATGTTCAGTTTTTCTATATAAAACAACTCTCCACATTATATTAGGAAAGTGTTTACCTCTAAAAGGCAGGCTTTAGTCCAAGTTTGGTTTGTACATAGTATGTGCTCAGTAAAGGTGTGCTTGTATCTTTCCTTAACCAATATTGAATCTCTACCACCTGTGTCTTTTATCGCACCCTCCTGGCATATTCCCATTCAGTCATACTTGCTTCCTTCCCGTATTAGACCTTTATGCTTGTCACGCACGGCTGGCTTCTTCTACTCAAAGATCACCCCCTCAGAGACGTCTCTCCTTACCACCTTAGCCAAAACAGCCCTGCCACCCTCTGGCCATTCTCTATCCCCTTTTAATTAGTTTCTTGGCATTACCACTACCTGAAATTACATTATTTCTTTATCTGCTTATTTCCCTGCCCTTCTAATTGGTAACGTAAGTTACCGAGGGCCGGCACCTTACCTGTCTTATTCAGGCCTGTATTCCCATTGTCAGAACAGTGCCTGCTGTGCACTCTGAAGATAAATTTTTGGAGGAGTGAATGAGTGAATAGAGGGAAGCACAAGGGAAGTGTTGGGGACACCATGGTTAGCACATCCCCGACACTCCATTTCCTTTCTGGAGCTGACTAGAGCCAGTTAACTGACCAATTGCCCAGCTACATTCAGTGCTCAAAAGACAGACCTCTGAGGTTGGGTGGAGGCACGAGGGAACTGAAGTGCTTCTCCTATCCATGCCCTCCCTGATCCTCAGTCTTCCTAGTTCCTGGGTCTTCTCACCACCACCTTCGTCCCCAGACATACAAGGCTCAAGAGAGCACTCAGCACGGCAGCTGTGCCAAGGAGCGTTTTCTCTCTGGGAAGGAGGGCAGTGACAGGACATCTTCCAAGATGAATTAAAATCTCATTTCCTATGAGAACAGCCCAGCCCCTGTTCTGGAGAGAGCTGAAAACACTGCCCCAAGATTGAGCTTACCGTATAAATTGATGTACCGGATACAGCTCTCGACTACAAGCGGTATAGCTTGTCCTGAATCCTTAAGAAAAAAAAAATCGTGAGTTGTACTGGGCTTGGCAACCACCACAGGGAAAAAGACATTGCAAACATAGGTTATACACTCAAGCCAGAATATTAGTACCATCGGATTAGTAGGAAAATAAGCAAGGAACTGCTAATCCTAAAGTCTCCACAAACAGTTAAACAGAAAATCTTCAGTTATGTGCAGAGAAAGGCATAGCTATGGTAATTTTAAAGAAATGCTCTGTCTTCTTACTTAGCTGGGAAGAAGTCAGGGCTCAAAGGCTTGGCAGGCGCACCTGGGAAGGGGAGGGAGCCCGCTGCTCAGAGAGGGCTGGAGTTCACTCTTGGAGAGTGCTCTGCCTTCCCCTCCACTTTGCCCCACTCAACCCTATCCTCCCAGGGCTCAAGGACAAAAAGGGAGGATCAAGGCCTCCTTCTAGCACTGCAGTACCTGACGCTTGACATAAGAACACACTACGGGAAGCAAGGATGGCCCCAAGGGTCCTATTGAGCTCTGAGAAAGGAAGGCCAGGTCTAATGAGGTTACAGCCTAAACATCCAGGCAGAAACTTTGTTTGACAATAAACGTGTTATAAGGAAAACTTCTAGAAACAGCTAATGTCAGCCATTGACCACTGAGTGGCCAACCTTAGTCAAAAAGGCTGAATAAGATGCAGTTCTAAACATACGCATGGCAGGGGGTGTGAATGTATTTTCAATTACATCTTCCTAGATGGGCCCACAGCCACAAAGAGCTAGGCGAGGGCTAGTTTTGTCTTGGATTCCATGACTAGTTGATCTATTAGTCTGAATCACTTAAAGAGCACAAAATCTTTTTTTAAACTTTCATTAAAATGGGCCAAATTAAATTACTAACCTCCTCAGATGAGGAAACAACAAGGCACACGTAATACGTTCTTGTAAAGAGACAGAAAAACCCACGAATTTCGATGCCTTTGTGGTTCCTCCACACCCCACCTGTGAATCCTCTCCTTGGTTAATGATAGTCAGGGAGAGGGAGATAAAATGGACCCTGTGGCAATAGGCAAGGTGGGCCCTGCTCTAGAAGTCAGTACTAAAGACAGGTTCCATCCAGTTGAATGGGGCTAATGGACCTTTCTAGTAAATACCTGGTTCCTGGTTCGAGCATTTCTTCTTCCTCTGATAACAAAAAATAAACAGGCAGCAGAGCAGGAGAAAAAGAAAAGATTACGCAGGAGTAAGATCAGTTAGAGTAAGCAGATCCTTCAGAGTCCGTGAACGCGGAAATGCAATGGCAGCCAGCAACGGTCCTGGGGAGACTGCCAACCAGCCTGCTGGTGGGGAGGGCCGCCCCTGCGCCTCTGGGCCTCATAGGAGCTCTGCACCCTGCCCCTGGTCAGCCTGCCGGTGTGCCTGCCTCGGACACCTGGTGGCAAAGGGGCCTCTATCAGTGTTTGTCAAGCACAGGGCCGGTGTGTGCTGAGCCCCTTTCTCGTCCCACGTTTAGCTTCTCCTCAACACAGGGGCTGTTCACTCACCAACGGGCAAGGGCCCACCTAAGACACCTTAAGGTTAGCCCAGCTGCCCACAAGAAGGAGGGACAAACAACTTCAGGCATCTACTCTAACACTATCCCTGCAAGTCAATTCAGGAAACCTCATTCTTAGTAAAAAGCTAATTTCACCAAGATTGTGTTTATTAGGTGCCCTCTGGCTGCAACCTGACAGGATTCCACCCGATTCCAAATTCAAACAGCTTCCCATGCTTTCCTACCAAACACCCTGGGTAGCTTTTCCTGGGTATCCATTGGCTTTGCTCTCCTTCCTGCTCCCTGGCCCTCACACTGGTACTGAAAATACCACAGGGAACCCCAAAGTTGAGCAAGGCCTGGGGGAGGGAGGGCAGTGGGGGGGGGGGTCAAAACACTTTTATGATCTTGCAGGTAGAACTGGAGCCTTTGCTTTCACAAAAGCCACTGTAGTCACCCATTTTCAGGGGAGCCCCTTGTGCCCTTTCTTCCATGTCTGCAGTAGGTCAGGCTCTGGGCTGGGAGCTATGTCTCAACCAGGCTCCTTGAGAGGACAGTGGAGGAGGCGTGCCTTCTAGCTGGTGTCATCTGTCCGGTCCCCAGCATCTCCACAAGTGGAATTATATGTTGGCTAAACCTACCTGAATCCTAGAACTGAGCAAACAGCCCGTCAGATGGGACTCTATGAGCAATCTCCTAAAAGCTCGTGACCACAGTAACGGCTAGCATTTCCATGGTGCTTACTCTGGGCCAGGAGTGCTCTAGAAACACGGCACAGATTAGCTCATTTGAACTCGTCACACACTCATGAGGTGGGTAATCAATATTCTCATTTTATAGAAACAGGGTGGGGACTCTCCCTCCCAAAATTTATAATACAATTGAAATGGGCTTCAAAATTTATAAGAAAAATTGGGTTTCCTTCTGAGAGGGGAAAAAAAATGAAGGATTTTGAAAAGGGCCAATTCCAACGATCCTAGAAATCTATCAGTGTAACTGTCATTCTTAACTTGGGGATGCTGCCTTGTCCCACTACACCCTCATCATCGCGGAGTCCGAGCGATGTCATTTTACTGGAGAACCTTTCACAGGTTTGGCATTTCAAGCTGGGCATTCTCCGTTCGTGCAGAGTTTTCTTCCAGATAGCACGCGAATCATAAGAGAAAATTAAATTCCATTCACAAAGGTTGAAGGGTTGAATATATTATAACTGCCTTTTCATTCTCTGAAAGCTAATCGTCCTTGAGGGCGAGCCCCTGCTGCATGAGAGTTTTTCTCTGCACTGCGTGCTCAGAGCAGGCGCGCGGAAGAGTTTGTTAACTGCCCTGACAGTATGTGGTATAAGTACAGTGTGACTATAAAGAAATGCAGTCGTGTTGAACAAATATACTTTTTTTTTTTTTTGGTCAAATGAGTGTGTTTATTCTTTCAACTAGTCCCCCAAGGACTTATTCCAACCACATGACCCATGCTAAGCGGCTTTTCAGAGCCAGTCAGCCAGCCCCACTGTAGCCTATGCCTCTTGCCATTTTGTACCATCAGAGGTGTTGCAAAGCTGAACTGAATGACGGTTTTCCTTCCAATGGCCAGGGTGTCCATTCTAATACGAAGTTTTGGCACCACCCACCAGGGCCATGCTACAGGCTCTAAGGAAGACTGACCAACGGGACCAGTGACGATGTATTCAGAATAAGAATGTGGCTTCCCAAGGTGACTACCTCCTCCAAGGGGCAAACATGCAGTTGAGTTCTGATGTGTTTATCACGAGGAATAAAGTCAGATTGTCTGACAGTCACACATTTTATGTAGGAGCTCTCTATTTAAAAAAAACTATTTCATTAAACAGAACACCTAATTTTCAAGTCCTGTCATCTAAGAGTCAGTTCCTTCCAAGTGCCCAGACCGATCATCCGTTTCCAAAGAGCTGAGCAAATTCGGGAAGTCGTGCCTGTCTCAGAGCCTTCATTCATTGTGTTCCTCTCCTTTCAGGGACTCCTATCCTGCCCCTCTCCACTTTGGCCCTACCCACCCGCCAGAAGCCTCCTGCGTTCTGGGGCTCATGGCTCTTCATGTTCTGTGCTCTCACAGCACTTGCTTCCATGTGGTCATTCACAGACTACTCATCCTGAATAGCCTATTCTTTCAGCTTTCTGGGCTAAAAACCTCCTGAGCGGCACTATACACTCCCTGAGGGCAGAGAGAATAGCTAGTGTATCCTTCAGTCCCCTCCTGGCTATGGAGAGTGGCTTTTCCGAGGGCAAGGGTGAATGAGATGAAGTCTTGGTGGAGACAGGAGGGAAGATAAAGAAAGAAGGACCCTTGACACAGCCGCATTCTCCCATGATCTACTACTGGATGGCAAACTGCTCTCTCAGGGTCCCCTCCAAACAGTACCTCTTTCCTGATGCACCCAGGGCACCCCTTCTTTTGGGACCCTCCATGCCTCACTCCTCTGAGGTAGCCTAAAGCAGCCCTTGCTGTTCCCCGCCCCTGGGCAGTCCCAACTGGTGCCCTACTGTTCCTCCGTCCCCTTCCCTACTGTCCCTTCCCCAGAACTAAGCCCACAGGCAGAGACAGCTGGGACCCAGGCTGCTGGCCCTGCCTACCCAGTCCCGTGCCTGCCCGCCCCCCAAACCCCATCCTGCAAATCCCGTGAACAGCGTGTCAGGACGGAGGACAGAGTACCTGAGCAGGGGCAGCCTCCACTGCTCCAAAATCGCCAACAAAGCCCAAGAGCATTTACATTTCTCCTGATTGACACCAGTCTTCTTTTCTGCAGAAAGTGTCTTCACTGGATAATGGAGGGCTCTCGAATAACTGGCAGGGACCTTTCCCCCCTGCTCCCTCTAACTCATGTTCCTCAAGCATCTCCCCAACCTGCTGCCCTTTTCAACTCTCTGGCCAGCTTCAGCTGCCTTGAGCTACTCATTCTATCTGGGATGCCTTGATCCCGTGCCCTTTGCCTCCAGGAGGCAAGAAAAAGAAACTCACTGCGCTGAAACACTTCATTTTTAATTCAGGATGTACAGGGCCTCAAGAAGCAAAACAAGGTGGGAGAGTTTTCTCTTAAAAATTATATGTGTTTTCTTTGTCGGTATATTCTCAACCAAAAAAAAAAAAAAAATTGTATAAAAACCCACTGTTACCCGCAGGGATTTTCTTTGTGTTGCTTCCAACCAACACTTCTTGGGAGGCGTGGATGCGAAGCGTGGCAAGGTGGTTTCTCGAACTGTCCCTGGGGCTAGCTAGAACCACAATTCCTGAAGCAAGAGAACACGGCTGGCAGGGGCCACAGCGCTGGCCTTTCAACCCCGCCTGGACTTCATGGGCTTCGTCAGGATCTTATCCCTCCCCCGGGGCTGAGGATCACCGGAAAACACTTAAGATCAACTGGTCAGAGAAAAAAGCAGCTCTGCTTTGAAGCCCTGACTAAAGGTTAAGAGTAGGCTGCGTGAGGAACTATGTGGCCCCAGGCCTGGTCCAGGGCAGGACTGAAAGTTCTGGTTGGTCAGGGCAGGGCTATGGGCCAAAGGGAGGAGGTAGAGAAAGGCTGCCATTACATTGGGTGCATTCGCGGACTCCGTGGCTCCCCAGCAAGTACCTTAATAAACGCTTCCATACAGCCGTTAAATAGTTTATGGCTACACACTGAGAGAGGCCTAGGTCTCCTCATTTTCTGTGGTTTAGGGGGAAGACAGGGGGGCCTAGGGAAAACGGAACAAAAGAAATCAAGAAAGCAACCAATGCAAACATACAACTGGGAAAGACGCTCTTAAAACCCGTGACTGGAGGAGAACACAAAATGCAAATGGAACCCCTGAACCCCCAGCACATTGGTGTCCAATGCTCCATCTGAAGGCCTTTGGATGTTTAAGGGGAATCTTAATTTACCCACAATGTCAGGCAGGAGCAACGCTCGTATAACACAAATGCATTCTAGATCACAGGGGGGAAAGAGTATGTATCCAGGAAACCACTGCAACTCCAATCAGAGGCTGTCATCCCGCAAAGCTGACCAGATGGAGGAGGAACCAGGGGAGAGAGATGTAATCTGCAGCCTGAGAAAGCAAGAGACTTTCAATGATGATTGGAAGGGTTAATTCTCATTACTTTGGCTTAAATTCATAACCAAGTCTCAACTCCCAATGTACCAGGGCACTGATCTTTCTAATGCCTCTTGGCATTTCAAATGCACTTGACTAATCTTTATTGCATTGATCTAAGAGCCAGGCAATTATTATTCTCATTTTAGAGATGAAGATAACTGATGCCTGGAGGGAGGCCACAGCTCTTTTGGGGTCCCCGGGTGACCCGGGGTGATGATTACACCCTGTGCTTTAGTCAAATACACTTTTGATTAAAGCACTTTCAAATCCATTATCACACTTAACGTCAGTTCAACCCTGTACGGACAGCCCCATTTTACAGAGGCAGAAACTGAGGCCTAAAGAGGGGAACTGGCAGAGCCAGGCCCCAAACTCAGGCCTCGTTGGCTCCAATGCCAAGATTTTTCCCACCAGGCCAGTGATGGAGTCTTAGGGACTGTTCATTTCCAGCCAAGGACTCATTTCATCCCATTAACCCTTGCCAGCAGAGGACCTGTTGGGTCAGGTTGAAAGTGTCTTGCTTTACTTTAGGATCTCCATTCCCTGTGCTCCACTGTTGGCTCCAGGGAGGGGAAACCATACCACAGTTCACCAGGAACAGTGAAACAGCCACAAACACTGGACCAGTTTCCAGAGTTGCTCACCATGCATATACCTGTGTTGGCTTATTTGCTCATCTTTCGCCACCCAAGGTTGGCCTGACTCAATGCTGCTAGCCTTCCAGGGCAAAGGGCTTTCTGGGTTAGGAGGAGGGCCCCTAACCGAGAGAGGCAATTCATTTTCAAATGGCTTGGTTCACAATTTGGGAGCAACAAAGTGGGGACCCAGCCTGGTACACATAATGTCCACACGTGACGAGCAAAGACCTGGTCTCCCAAGTCTTAACTGATTTCTGTGAATGGGCAAGAAATCGTATGGATTGTGGAGCCAATCGAGGTGAAAGAGATTCACACTGCCTCTGCTCACTGGCCTTGTTGTGCCTGTCCCCCTCAGCGGCCCGGCCATCTAGGGAAATCTCAGGAGCTTCTCCTACATGTTTGAGTATTGAGCAAATGCTGCTGGCTCCAGGACATGCATGGGCAAAGACACAGCTGAATCCAAATATCATGCCACCCAAACACTGGAACCAAAATAACAGCACAGACCAAAATTTTAAAAAGAAACAACAGGCAAGACTATTTTGAGCCCATCTTGGATCTATGTCAATTTGGTTAGCTAAGTCCATGTCATTTCTTTTCATCAGTTACCAATTTTTTGAGGATGTGGGTACTTGGGGGTGGTACTTCTTACAACTGATCTGCTTTTGAGTTTCCAAATGCCAAAAGAGAGTGTAAAAAAAAAAAAAATGTGACGCGAGGCCACAGGTTTTAAATCTTGGGATTAGGAATAACTTGAGGATAGCAACTGTGCCACCTTGTTCCCCTAGTGTTTGGGGTTTCTATTTGTGAGCGTTCTCAAGATGGTTTCCTTATCTCACACTCCATGATACCCTCACAACTACCCTGTGAGGTAGGCAAGACTGATTAAATCCACTTTAAACATAAGGCAAATGAGCCCATGAGAGATTAAGAAACTTTCCAAGAGTCACATAAAATAATATGTGATTGAAGCTGAGAACTGAATTCAGTTCTTCCTCCTCCAGATTCTGGTGTGAGTGGGAAATTGGGAAGTTGATTTTATCACAGAACCCCCAGCAGTTGCTCTGAGTTATCTCTTAAATTCCCATGGCCAGCAAAAGTAGAGATTCTTAGTGCAGGGGCTGGACACCCAGCTGGAGAGTTTTCTTAAAATAAGTCTTAAGGAGTTTTTTTTTTTCTTGAAGTTTACAAAATGGAATGAAGGGGAAAAAGGATACTTTCCCCATTTCTCCTGCCCAATCCAGAAGGCAAAGGACTGCTCAAATCACACTGGGATTTCTTTCTTTGTGTGGTGTTTCTGGGCACCGACCGGAAATCTCTGACAAGGAAACGTAGCTATCCCAACTTTGCATGACATCAAATCGATTTTGACTTACTGAAGTGCTGGGTGGGGCACAAAGTGGGGAGCAGGGGGGCAGCTCAGCCAAGGAAAGTGGGGCAGCCTAAGCCTTCCATCTCTTCTGCTGCTCAGTTGCAGAGCAAAAAGGAAAGAAAGAGAGAGGCAGGGAAAACAGGAACAGAGAAAGCCACAGAGAAGAAGAGAGAGAAACCAGAGACCAATGTCCCCTTTCTGTCTTTCGACCAAGACAAAAATTAACAAACATTGACAACATAGGAATTGGCCTCAAAATTCTTCTGTGACCAAAAGAATGGTGACTAAAAATGTTCCCTAGATAACCCCACAGATGTGGGTGTTAACATCCAAAATGGTGGCAATACTGTAGTTCAGTGGCAGTCAGGCCCTTGGAAGCTGTGTGTGGGTATGCGTCAGGTCACATCCTTTTAGACAAGAACTCTCACATGCTTTCATCGCTAATCCCGACCATAGGGACAAGCCAACCTGGGTTAGGGAAGCCAGTCTGTAGTTAGAATAATCACAATCAAACCTTACGTTTGCATCTCGCTGTCCCATTTATCACGCACTTTCCAAGTGCATTATTGCATCTGGACCATCTAGTTACAGGGTTATGAATTGGGATTATTCTAAGATCAGGTTCTTAAATGTGAGAAAAAACGTACCACGTTGCAGCCCATATGCAAAAATTGGTCTACACAGGCCAGCAGCAACTTGGCTGAGGGGACCTGCTCAACGGATCATCCAAAATGACACTAACATTGGGCAGGAAACCATGGAAGATACAGAGAGCCATAGCATAGAAACATCTCACCCAGGGGCCTTTAGGATTAAATTAAAAACCACCTCAAGTTGGCAGCGCATTGCACACAAATTTTAAATGATTTTTGGAAGTAAGGGGAAGCCTTTAGTTTACTAACAAAGTTGCCTCTGACCTTGGCCAAGGGCCAGAGTACAGATGGCTGGGTTTGCAGTTTAGTGTAGTATGTCTAAGTGGGAGGTCTGTAGTCGCAGCTTGCATTTCCCAGGCCCTAGGTCAAAGAGGGTATGGAAGACTACATCTCAGATGGCTTTATTTAAAATTAAAAACAACAACAACAACAACAAAACCCTCAACTTTTCTCTGAGGTAGACCCTGGGACCTAGCCAAGGATTTGATTACAGATCTCTCCTGCAATCTGCTGGAACCATCTTCCTTTGCATGAGTTCTAGGAATTAGGAGGAGGTGAGGGATGGCTCAATTCGTCCCCCATCTGTTTTCCTATTTGCAGACTTTGGTGTAAAATGTGGCTTCTGTTGTTTGGGGACTACGACAACATCCTCTTGCCAGAAAAACTAACTAACTAAATAAGGAGTTTGTTTCTGGAAAGTTCTTAGAAAGTGACCCTGCACATCTGCTGACCCTCTGCTGGAAGGTCCTCGCCTGGCATTATGAATCATCCTGATATTCCCAAACTGCCGGGGCCCAGAGGAACAGCTGCACAGCTAAGCTTCTGGAAAGCCCTCTGTCTCCCCCATCCTGGGCCCAGCAAAGTGAAAACCTCAGAGCTTTCCAAGCCTCTTCCCAGCCAACTCTCTTCCAGATGAACAGGAGGGAGTTGAGGGTTCATCTTTCCTCTCGCCAAGTAGAACAGCTTTCCAGGATTCTGGGCCACTGGCTCAGTTCGTGTTGGGCAGTGGTAAAACTATTTGCTGGGAACTCGAAAGGAAAGAGATGGGTTCTAAGGAACAACTCGGGCAGCAACAGGGCTGCTTGGGGATCTAAACACTCTGAAAGTATTGGAAAGGTCCAGTCGCTGAAAGTCAACCCTTCAGCTACCAGCTGCTGAGTGGAAAGTGTTCACTGGCTCTGGTCTGCTCAGGAAAAAGCGCAAAGGGTAATGTTGAGCAAGCTGGAGAGAAAGCAGAAGTTGCCCATTTGTTACTTTCCCAGCAAGGGACTCCCCCATCAGTCCATCCACGTGCCCAGGAGGTCTGAAGCCAGGCTGCGGGCGGTAGGGGCATCTGGGCGCGCTTATGTGGCTATGCGCATGCATATGCCCGGATGTGTGCCATACGAGCCAAATCCAAAGCCCTGGCAAATGGGGACCCCAGGCTGGGCCCCCTGCCTGGGCTGGGCAGTTTGCTCAGCAGCCAAAGAACAGATGGGGAGACAGGTCAACAGTTACCCACAGCCTCTGGCCTCTACTGGTTGTCCTCAGCCACTTTGCAATATATATTACCCTCCCACCCGATGGATAGCGCCAACAGAACATACCCCACTTTCCCACAGCAGCTGGGAAAGGCGCCCCCCCACCACAGGCCTGTAGGGGGCGTGGCTTCACCAGCACGATGCTAGGACAAGCAGAACAGCCAGCCTTCTCAGCACAGCCACGCCATCCTGGAGACACTGGTGAAGAGCTATCCCGCTCTAAAAACAGCCCAGCCTTCTCTGAGCTCTCAGCAGCATCTGCCTTCCACCTTCCCGCCTTCCTGCCTCTCCTGCACCCCCATCCCCACCTCAGGCAGCAGGTGCAAAAAACAAGATGCCCAACTCTTACCTGGTTGTGCCACATTCTGCTCTCTCTCCTGGAAAATAAAGTATACATTGATGCTTAATTGTTTTTTGTTGTTGTTGTTGTTTTAACCAGCAAACATTCATCTTTTTCTAAAAACAAGGAACAACTGAACTTAATTATTTGCGAAATGGGAAACTGAATTATGCCTAAGAAATGGTCTGTTGGAAAGAACCAAGTCTTATTAAATCCCCAGGGCCTCCTATCTGTAAGGCTATGTTCACATAAATTTCATTTTGTATTGTTCTTGTATATTTTTTCAGTGACTTTCAAATTACCACTTGCATCAGAATCTTCTGGGGACCTTATTAAAAATGCAGATGGGGGGGCACCTGGGTGGCTCAGTCGTTCAGCGTCTGCCTTCGGCTCGGGTCATGATCCCAGGGTCCTGGGATTGAGCCCCCCATCTGGCTCCCTGCTCAGCGGGAAGCCTGCTTCTCCCTCTCCTGCCCCCCTGCTTGTGTTCCCTCTCTCGCTGTCTGTCTGTCTGTCTGTCTCTCTCTCTCGCCCCGTCAAATAAATAAATAAAATCTTTAAAAAAAAATGCAGATTTGGGGGCTTTCCCATGGGCCTTCTGAATCAGAAATCTCTGAGCTAAGAAGACAGGAATCTGCATTTTAATAATCACCCCAGGTGATCCCTCTGTGCGTGCCAAAGCTCAAGAACTCATGCACTGCATTATATCAACAAAGGTTGGTTGATGGGGCACCTGGGTGGCTCAGCCAGTTAAGCGTCTGCCTTTGACTCAGGTCATGATCTCTGGGTCCCAGGATCGAGTCCCAGGTTGAGCTCCCTGCTCAGCAGGGAGTCTGCTTCTCCCTCTCCCTCTAGCCCCTCTGCTCGTTCTCTCTCACTCTCTCTCTCAAATGAATATATAAAATCTTAAAAACAAACAAACAAAGAAAGGTTGGTTGAGCACCCATCATAGACTTGGCCCTGAAGAGCAACAGATATAAGATACCTCTTGTTGTTCCTCAACCCAGCCACGCACCCACTCCAACCCTTCCTGCCTTCATTCTCAGCTGAAGACCTTCTTGCTTCCTTCACTGGAGAAGAAAATCAGTAAGACAGGTCTTGGCATACCTCCATAAGACACACCCACCTACCTGCGCCTGCCCATTCACTCTCTACCTCCTCTCCTCTCCGGTACCCCGGAGAAGCATCCAGACTCTGTTAAGGCCCAGACCTCCGCGTGCTCTTGGCCCCAGCCTCTCTGCCCTTCTCGGGTGCTCTGTTTCCGCAAGTACCCCCCACCAGCCCAACCATCACCGATCTCCTTTCTTCTGGATCATTTCCATCCGCCTATAAACATGTTCCAGATATGTATAATCTAGCTTTTCAACCCCCCCTGGGCCCCCTTTCTCCCTCTAACTCCATCCCCATTTCTCTCCTTTACAGCAAAGCTTGCTGAAGGAGCTGTCTAGGAAGCCCTCTTGCTTTCCCCGCTCACCCCACTGAGGTTGGCTTCTGGCCTCACCATCCACAGAGACTGCCGGCTCCGTGTGGACAAATCCACTGTCTTTTTTTGCTCTTATCTGACTTCTGGGCAACAACTCAGTGAATCGCCCTTCCTCTTCGTACAAAGCTTTCTCCTTGATTTTCATGACTCCGCACTTGCCAAGTGTCCCTCCTGCCCTACAGGCTATTCCTCTGTTTTACTTGCTGTCTCCTCATCTGCCCAACCTCTAACCTCTAAATGATGGGATGCCCCCAGGAGGTGTACCCAGACCTCTTTCTACAGAACACCTTATCTGCCTGACCATGACCAAAGTGCTTACCAAGGACTCCCTACTCTTATCTCCAGATCTTCCATTGCCCTGGAATTCCAGACTCCTAGTCACTGCCTTCTTTTTTATTTTTAACAGCTTTGTTGAAGTATAATTTACAGAGCATAAAATTCACCCACTTGAAATGTATGGTTCAATTATTTAGTAAATAGTCAAGTTGTGCAACCATCATTGCAATTCAATTTTAGAACATTTCCTTCTAAAAAGAGCCCTTGTGCCAATTCACAGTGACCTCGCCCCCTTCTATCTCCAGCCTACGGCAACTGCTCATCTATTCTCTGTGTCCATGGATTTGCTTATTCTGGACATTTTATAAAAATGGAATCATGCGATCCACAGTCTTGTGCATTTGGCTTATTTCACTTAGCATACGCTTTTGGGGTTCACCCACACAGCACAATTCAGTACTTCATTCCTGTTATGGTGCAGCAGAGAATGTCTAGGCCAGGGTTGTCCAATAGAAATGTAATGGAAGCCACAATTTCTAGCAGCCATGTTACAAAAAGTGAAATAAGTAAGATTAATTTTAATAACATATTGTGTTTAACTTAATACATGAAAAATATAATTTCAAAGTATATCAATATGACAATTCATAAAATATTATATGCATTATTTTTCTATTAACTCAGAAATCAAAAACTTTCTACCCTTTACCTTCTGAGACCTGTTGGGATTTTTAAAAATATATTTTATAGTTAGTGGTTCAGTCATCTTCAGAAGGTCAGACTGTCTGGTCCTGGTGGACACTGGCTCTGTAATGTGCTATTAAATCTTGGTCTGAAAAGGTTATGTCCCATCCCTTTTATAGACAATGCACTCTTCATTCTTGAGGGGCTACAGTAAATTGAAAAGCCACCCATATCTTGGGTATAAACCCTGGAGCTTACAGACTACCCGGAGCAGTAAAAAGGTCAGAGATCTAAAACTCAGACATGATGATAAACTAAGAATCCTCTGGCCAATAAAACAGCATAGCAATAGCCAAGGGCATATACGGGTGTGTTCTTGTTCCCAAGACGTGCCAGTGACATTTACAACAAGGAATGCCAATTTGCAGGACACCTAGAAGCATTTTGACTTGTGTGTCTGGGATCAATCATGTTAAAAAAAAATTTGCTTCTAAGTGAGTGCTTCTGTTTCCTCTAACTTGTGGCTTTGAGCTATGCTGTCAAAAGAGTACTTGAGAGAAATGGATTACATGATACACTTCATTTGTAGCTTCTCAATCAAAATATTCTGCTTAGCCCCGTATTTCTCACCTGTTTCCAAAATTTTCAGAGCGTCCCTCCCAATACAAAATAGCCCTCTGAGGACATAAAAAGGCCACTGATGCAGGTGTAACCCTACCCCAGCCCACTCCTGGAAGAGCTTTCTACTGGATGGAAGAGTCAGTATGTGCAGGTAGAGGTGAATCATCCGCTGACACTCCGAAGGACGAAGGAGCTTAGATTTTGAGCCTGCTCTGGCCTGTGCAATTTTTTCATGCCCCCGTTGCCCAGTGGGCAAGAACTTGACCCATCTAAGTCAGTGCACGTTTTCCCCTTTCACCCAGTGCCCTAAGAATCCACATCTACCTGTATCAGGCAGCAGGGATACAAAAGTGACTCAACATTTGGCTCAGCTGCCGTTCTTTTCAGTAATTTGGTAATCCATTAATTTTAGAGATAACAATGTACCAGTGTTCATTACTTGTGACAAATATACCATGCTCACTGATGTCAATAACAGGAAATACTGGACGCGGAGTGTATGGGAACTAACTGTACTATCTTGTAAACTTTCCATGAATCTAACACTATTCTAAAACAAAGTCTATTCTATTTTATGTATTTATTTTTAAAAGATTTTGTTTGTTTGTTTGTTTAGGAGCGAGTGAAAGAGAGAGAGTGTGGGGGAAGAAGTAGAGGGCAAGGGAGAGACAGAATCCCAAGCAGACTCCACTTTGATCGTGGATCCCGACGCTGGGCTCAATCTCACGACCCTGAGATCATGTCCTGAGCTGAAACCAAGAGTCAGATGCTCAACCGACTAAGCCACACAGGCATCCCTAAAACAAAGTCTATTTTTTTTTTTTTTAATGCAAAACCTCTCCAGAGCTGACCAATCTAACAAGGCCCATCCCAGTTTTCAAAAGAAGCACAGTGGGGCTTTTCCATGGCTGGGTTATTAGAGAACAGCACTTTGGAGATTCTTTTCGATGGCTCTTTCTTAGCGACCCTTATACTTCAGAAGCTGCATTTTCCTGCAGTTTTTCATTGCTATTCAGCCTAAAACTCAGAAGGAGGACTGGTAAATCACATCTCAAAGCAAGGTGTAGCTTGGGATCATAACCTGAGCCGAAGGTAGACGCTTAACCGACTGAGCCACCCAGGCACCCTGGGATCTTATTTTTTAAAAAGAAAATCTGGTTTTCTAAATCCAGGGCAACTGATTTTGAAAATACAAGTAGCCACCAATGCACATGGACCTGCCTTTTGGTGCATGGCTCTGAGAAACAGGCCCTGGGGGGTCATAAAACGAATCCTCTTCAATGCTAGTTGTGGGAACTGCCCCTGTCCCCATCTGAGCTCCTCTCTAGGAGGAGCTTTCCCTCCCTTCTTGTTGCTTTGGTGCCCTCTTCGCTGCCCTACTCCTCCGCAGTCCCACTCACCTGGCCCAATGGGGCAATGTCAGGGATGGGCAAACTGGAGTGGGGTGTCAGGGAAAATGAAGAAAAAGCTCATTGCAACTCACTCCTCCCCACCCTCACCCCCAGTCAACGGGTTTTGACAAATGTATATACCCGTGTCCAACCAGCACCCAAATCAGGATACAGGACATTTCCATCACTCCCAGAAACTCCCCAGCTAGAAATCACAAAACTGATCTCTGCTGATAGAAGGCAGACCAGTGGTTGCTTGGGGCAGAGGAGGGAGAATTAACTGCAAAGGGATACAGAGGAGCTTTTGGGGTGACAGAAATGTTCTATATTGTGATCTGGGTGTGTATGTTTTTCAAAACTGATTTCTACGCAAAATGGGTAGATTTTATTGCATGGAAGTTACGTGTCAATAAAGCTGATTGAAAAAATTCTACTGATATTAGTTTCAAAACCCTGGTTTTTCCTCCAAGCCCTAGTTATTTATCTTTCTTGAAGCCTTTCTGGCTCTTCTGGGCCTATGGTGATCCCTTCCTCTCCTGGCTCAGACCCTCAGCGTCTGTCCTGTTCATCTGGCAATTCAACCAGTGTTTCTGTGTGACTTAATGTTACTGCTTTTGATTTTTTATGAATTTGTGAACTGTCTCCTCACTAGATTATAAGAGCCTTTGGGCTGGGAAATGGTTTAATTTCTCACTGTTTCCTCTAAAGCACGGGGCTCACAAATGCCAAGCATCTGCAGATTCCAGCTACCCACTTGACTGGTGCCGACTGCACAGCATCAGGGAACACTTGGGTGGCCAGGGCACAGCCACTAGAATGTGCACCCCTCTGGAGAAGAGAGTGATCCAGTGGGGGGCAAGGACACGTTGTGGGTGGCAAAACCCCAACGGCCAATGAGCGCCAGCCCCATGCCCCACTCTGACTCTCATCTGTCACACTCCTCCTTCCCTGAAAAACTCAGGTGACCTCTAGGCCTGCTTCAAGCTGTCATATTGGGATCTCCTGGCATCATCACCTTGGAAATTCCCTTCATCTCTCTCATGTTGGTCTCCTATTTCCTGGACCCCATGCCTTTTTTCCTTTAGGTAGAACATATCGTTCAGCCAATTGTCCTCGCCAACAGAATACAAGAATATATCTGGATGTGGGGCTCCAAGCAGCATCTAGCAACTTCAGAAACCCTAGGTCAGCTCCTCCCCTCAGAGAGGAGCCACACATCACTTTCCAGGGCTACCAGGATTTGCTGCAAACCATCCCTGACCTTGGGGCCTAGTTATGTCCTAATGACCTTTCCATGCAACATTCATTTAGTGACTATTAACTGAGTGCGTACTGTGACTAGGTACTCTTCTAGGCACTGGAGATAAAGGGGTGGACAAAATAAATAAGGAAGTCCCTACTCCGATTGAAGATATGATACTGTTGGGGTGGGGGTGTGACCAGAGATAATAAGTAAATGAACAAATAATAAATAGGATAGTGATGAGTGAGATGAAGAAAATCAAACAGAGAGAGTGTTGGGACAGAGGTGGTGATTTCTTGAGGTTGGGTGACAAGGAGAGTCTCCACTAAGGAAGTGACATCTGAAGGATAAGGAGCCACCCATACTGAGATCTGGGGTAAGGGCATTCCAGGCAAAGAGAACAGCAGATGCAAAGGCCCTGGGGCAGGAATAAGCTCGATGAGTTTTGAAGGGCAGAAAGGAGCTTAGTGGGGCTGGAGCATGGTAAAGGAGTACAGAATGATAAATGAGCTCAGGGAAACAGGCAGAGGGCAAACGATGTGAGGCGTCACGTACCCTGAGACCACTGGGATTTTATTTCAACTGGCACTGGAAGACTTTGTGTAGTTTTAAGCCTACTCCCCACACCCCTCAAGGACCAAACTTTGCCTTCCATATATGGAGTTTTCTTTTTTGGACCAAGCCTCCTGGCCAGGCACTCCACTAGTATTCCTGGCAAATAGCATCTGCTGACAAGCATCCATGTGGACCTCTGTGCTCCTGGATTCCCACTCCCTTCCTACTGGGGACCCCTTTCATCACTTCACCTTGGACCCTCCCCCAGAACCTAAACTAACATTTCTGGTTTCCCTGTGTTTTCTGCAGCCAGACTAGACCCCTATCGGCATCTGTACCAGCCTGCCCCGTCCTGCCCGCTGGTTCTGGCACCAGGCCTCATTCTGCCAAATGCCCCAAGTGCAACAGCTCAAGGGGCCACAACAAAACAGGGACTCCTCACAGGCCTCTGCCCCCCAACCAACTCACCTTCACCCAGGGTCTGCTTGAGCAAGTCGTGCTTGGCCTGTAGCTTAGTGATGAGGTTACTGCCGTTCACATATTCTTTAAATTTCTGTAAGACACAAGGCACGCGGGCATTACAGACTGCAGGGCCAAGTCACACGGTCTCCACCCCTGGAACCAACCTCTGGGCGCCGGGGAGGTCGAAGGGAGATGGCGCTGCCCTCCAGGACCCCAGCATGGGGAAAAGAGGGGCCTCTGACCTGCCCCTCTGCTCTTCTCCATCAGACCCCAGCTCTGCCGAGCAAGCAGTCCCGGCCTACGCATTTCAATCCAGTTTGGGGAACACAAAGAAAGCTCGGGGGCAATGTGAGCGATGAAAGGCGCTTTTGTCAGGTGAGGACTGCGGGGCGGCGGGGGGGGGCGGGGTGGGGAGCCCTAGCAGAGGGCTTCTTTAGTCCTCAGGCTCCGCTGTGCTTCTGGGCCACGAGCAATAAAAATAGGAACCGTCTCTGGAGGCACGCCGCTAAGGCGAGAGCGCTTTATCAGATCCGTCACAGAGGAGCCTCCTAACGAGCCTCTCATCTGGCCCCACTCGGAAGGAGGAGGGGCTTGGCAGTCCCCTAAAGACATTCCTGTTAAAATAACGTGAACTGCATTGGGGGACACAATTTCCTTCTTTTTACAGAAGAGACAGGTGAGGCTTTGCCCAGGGTCCCTGGGGCCCTCAGGCTGCCTCTCGTTCAGGGGCCTTGTCAAGCACAACGCACTTCAGAGCAGAACAGACGGACAGGAGCCACCAGAACAGAAACACATCTACCTGCGCCCAAATCCAGCTGGGCCTCGGCCACCCCTCTCTCTACACAAGTACCGGCTTTCCTTGGCCCACCCTGTATCACCCAAACCCAGGCCCGGAACCCCCTCTGATGGGCTGTGTCTTTGCCAGACTGTGAGCCGCTGTTGGCGGGGTCCACACTCAGTTGGTTTTCAGCCCCCCAGTGCCTACCGCTGTGCCTGGCATAGAGCCAGTGCCGAGAAACTTCATGGGGGTTGACACAGAAGAGAGGGAAGAGAGACAACAAGCTAATAAAGAAAGTAAAATACACAATTGGTCAGCTGCTGGTGAATGCTGTGGATAAAAATTAGGCAGGGAGGGGGAGACGAACCATTAGAGACGATGGACTCTGAAAAACAAACTGAGGGTTCTAGAGGGGAGGGGGTTGGGGGGATGGGTTAGCCTGGTGATGGGTATTAAAGAGGGCACATTCTGCGTGGAGCACTGGGTGTTATGCACAAACAATGAATCATGGAACACTGCATCAAAAACTAATGATGTAATGTATGGTGGTTAACATAACAATAAAAAAATTATTAAAAAAAAAATTAGGGATGGGGGGGGACTATGAACAGGGCAGACCTCACGGCAGAGTTGCCCTGTGAACCCAGGCCCGAAGGAGGGGAGGGAGGGGCCATGTGGGGACACACTGGCACATGTGGGATGGAGCGTTCTCAGCAGACGGAACAGCAATTGCAAATGCCCTGAAAATGAAGGCACAGGATGATATGATTGCCCCAGAGCTGCCAGCTAGTTTCTCACAAAGAAATCCATTTTATTGCCCCAGCCAGAAGGCTCAGAAAGGGGTGCAGAGGAGCAAACAAGTGAACCACAGCGGCTCGGGACACCCCGACATGACCTGTAAAGGAGCATCTGGAAGGCAGTTGTAGGGTAAAGGCCCAACTTGGCAGGTTTCTGGAACAGTGGGGCTGGCAGGAGATGGTGGTGTCCTCTCTCCTCAGCCAGAGTCCCTGGTTCCTAGGACCTTGTCTTCTGGTTATTAAGATCCACTCCCCCTTGTACCTGTAGAGCACTCAGCAGTTTTCAGGCTTGTACCTTTGGTCTGCATCACAAACCTGGATAGCAAAGGTGGGGGGCATCATTATTCCCATTCTAGCCAGAAGGAGACAGAAGCTCAGAGCTGTGGCCACTTAGTGTGGCACCTTGAGCAGAAGACCCCCTGCCTCCTGACAGCAGCATTTCTCCAAGTGTGATGCAGGCCAGTGGCTTCCTCCCCGGCTGCCTAGCAAATTCCTGCTCAAGAAGACTGTGAGTCGAACCCCTAATTTTACACCTGAAGAAGACACCACGGAGGCTCAGACGTGTTCAAATTTCCAGGGCCTACCTCGGGGCAGGTGGTATGTTGGGAACCTACATTTTAACAAGCTTCCTACATGATTTGAATGCATACTTCAGTGTGATAACTGCTGTCCCTCCCCCAGTGTGATAACTGCTGTCCCTCCCCCAATACTGGATGCTTCCAGTATTGACCCCTCTACTCTTATCCCATGTTTAAAAATTCGCCACAAGAAGCAGAGCTGAGTTTTGAGCAGGTATTTTCTCCATCATGCCCTGCTGCCCCTGGCAGTTGAAGCTCGAACGCCAAACACGGAACGCACACCTTGGTGGGTTATTCACTGGTTAGTAGAAACTATACCCCAGGGCTCTGGGGCCCATGAACTCTGCCTGCTTTTTCCAAGCTTCATCTGGGCTTCATATGTGACTCATGATGGAAAGAATGCCATCAGATTGTACTGATGTTTGCATTAAAAGGAATATTATGTCCTCAACAATGCCTAAGATAATGTCACATCAGGTCATGAAGTGTACTCGCCAACCAGGTTAATAGATGAAATATTAAAATTAAAATATAACATCCATGACCCTTAATCATGAACATTGGTGAATTCTGTCTTTTAACTTCAAGCAGGCTAGACCCCATTCTCTGCTTCTACCACCCAGATTTCTTTGTTTCTGCTGCCAAAGGGAATTAATATTCATACACACTCCTTACTTAATCTTTGTAACCCATAAAATTCTCTTTGTACACACAGTAGGTCCTCAGTGGAAGTGCTGAAGCCCAGAAACTGGCATGGGCTGACTCACTAAGACCAGCTTCATTTTCTTTCTTGAAAACAACAAAGTCAAACTGTGATGCTTGAGGAAATGCTATCCGTGTTTTTAACAAGGGATTCGACAAGGCCTATCACAAGGTGGAGCTGAATGTCAGAACTGGGTGGATTTGTGACTAGTTAAATGACCACAAGCTAAAAGTGCTGACTAGTGGATCAACATCAGCTATGGCATGTTTTAAACAACTCCGTCTTTGGCCTTGGCCCCGGCATACCCCCTGGTTTTTTTATTTGACAAACTTTAAGGTGTGAAAGCCATACTCACTGACTCTGCAGACAACACAAGGTCTGAAGACACAGCACAGATGTTGAACAAACGGAACAAGATCTTGACAGTATGGAGCCATGAACTAAATCCATCAAGAGGGGTTCTAATTGGTACCAACCCAAGACATCACCTTTAGGAGGAAGGTAGCCTGGTTTAATGACAGTACGTAGAGAATAGAGATTTAACTGATATTGACTTAAAAAATATATACATATTAAACACATGTATATTTATATATCTATATAATCTTAGTTATAAGAGTGTTATGAAAAATGACATGCCAACAAATTGAACAAGCTAGAAGAAATGGATAAATTCCTAGACATATATAACCTCCCAAAACTGAATCAGAAAGAAATAGAAAATTTGAACAGACTGATCACCAGCAATGAAATTGAATCAGTCAAAAAGCTCCCAACGAACAAAAGTCCAGGAGCAGATTGCTTCACAGGTGAATTCTACCAAACATTTAAAAAGAGTTAATACCTGTTCTTCTCAAATTATCCCAAAAAGTAGAAGAGGGAGGAAAGCTTCCAGATTCATTCTATGACACCAAAATCAGATAAAGACACTACCAAAAAAGAGAACTACAGGCCACTATCAATGATGAACAGAGATGCGAAAATTCTCAACAAAATACTAGCAAACCAAATCCAACCATCATTAAAAAAAAAATCATTCACCACAATCAAGTAGGACTTATTCCTGGGCTGCAAGAATGGTTCAATATTCACAAATCAATCAACATGATACATCACATCAATAGGAGAAAGGATAAAAACACAGATGCAGAAAAAGCATTTGACAAAGTACAACATCCAATCATGATCAAAACCCTCACCAAAGTAAGTTTAGAGGGAATATACCTCAACATACTGAAGGCCATATATGAAAAACCCACAGTTAATATCATACTCAATGGTGAAAAATAGAGCTTTTCCCCTAAGATCAAGAACAAGATAAGGATGTCCACTCTCACCACTTTTATTCAACATAGTACTGGAAGGCCTAGTCACAGCAATCAGACAACAAAAAGAAATAAAAGGCGTCCAACTGTTAAGGAAGAAATAAAACTTTCACTATTTGCAGATGACATGATACTGTATATAGAAAACCCTAAAGCCTCCACCAAAAAACTACTAGAACTGATAAATGAAATCAGTAAGGACACAGGATACAAAAATCAATACACATAAATCTGTTGCATTCCTATACACTAACAATGACATAGCAGAAAGAAAAATTAAGAACACAATCCCATTTACAATTGCAAAATAAAATACTTAGGAATAAATTTAACCAAGGAGGTGAAAGTCATAAAACCATACTCTGAAAACCATAAAACACTGACGAAAGAACTGAAGACAATACAAACAAAGGGAAAGATATTCCATGCTCATAGACTGGAAGAATTAATATGGTTAAAATGTCCACACTATTCAAAGCAATCTACAGATTTAATGTAATCCCTATCAAAGTACCAAGAGTATTTTTCACAGAACTAAAACAAATAATCTTAAAATTTGTATAGAACCACTAAAGGCCCCAAATAATTTGCCAAAGTAATCTTGAAAAAGAAGAACAAAACTGAAGATATCATAACTCCAGATTTCAAGATACACTATAAAGCTATAGTAATCAAAATTGTATGGTACCGGCACCAAAACAGACATATAGATCAATGGAACAGAATAGAGAGCCCAGAAATAAACCCACAATTATATGTTCAATTAATCTACAATAAAGGAGACAATATGCAATGGGAAAAGGTCTCTTCAACAAATAGTGCTGGGAAAACTGGACAGCTACACGCAAAAGAATCAAACTGGACCACTTTCTTACACCATGCACAAAAATAAACTCAAAATGGATTAAGGACCTAAATGTAAGACTTGAAACCATAAAAATCCTAGAAGAGAGCACAGGCAGTAATATCTCTAAAATCAGCTGTAGCAACATTTTTCTTGGTGTGTCTCCTAAGACAAGGGAAACAAAAGCAAAAATAAACTGTTGGGACTACATCAAAATGAAAAGCTTCTGCACAGCAAAGGAAACAATCAATAAAACTAAAAGATAAAAGGTCAGTATCCAAAATATATAAAGAACTACAACTCAACATCAAAAAACAAATAATCCAATTAAAAAATGAGAAGACATGAGCAGACATTTCTCCAAAGAAGGCATCCAGATGGCTGACAGACACATGAAAAATGCTCAATATCACTCATGCAAATTGAAACTACAATGAGCTATCACCTCACACCTGTCAGAATGGCTAAAATAAAAAACATAGGAAACAACAAGTCTTAGCAAGGATGTGGAAAAAAACCCTCGTGCATTGATGGTGGGAACGCAAACTGGTACAGCCCCTGTGAAAGACAGTATGGAGGTTCCTCAAAAAATTAAAAATAGAACCACCATATGATCCAGTAATTCCACTACTGAGTATTTAGCCAAAAAATACAAAAACACCAATTCGAAAAGACATATGCACTCCTATGTTTATTGCAGCATTATTTACAATAGCCGAATTATGGAAGCAGCCCAAGTGTCCACTGATGATGAGTGGATAAAGAAGATGCGGTGTATATACACACACACATACATATACATAAAATGGAATATTACACAGCCATAAAAAAGAATGAAATCTTGCCATTTGCAACAACATGGGTGGATCTAAAGAGTATAATGCTAAGTGAAATAAGTCAGAGAAAGACAAATACCATATGATTTCACTCATATGTGGAATTTAAGAAACAAAACAAATGAACAAAGGGGAAAAAAGAGACAAGGAAAAAACCACTCTTAACTACAGGGAACAAACAGATGGTTACCAGAGGGGAGGTGGCGGGGGGCGGGGAGTGGGTAAAACAGGTGAAGGGGATTAAGAGCACCCTTACCATGATGAGCACTGAGTAATGCAGAGAACTGTTGAATCGCTGTATTGTACACCTGAAACTACTCTAACACTGCATGTTAACTATACTGGAGTTAAAATTTTTTAAAAATAAAATAAAAACAAAACAAAAAGAATATGATTTTAGCACATAGGAAAAACATCAGGGCAGGAGGTGGAAGGTTAGCTCTATTCTGTGCTGGTCAGACTGCTGCTGACTTTAGAACAGGCATCAACAAAAGGAACATGTTTGGGAAAGAGTCTCAGGCTCTGAGACCACTCAAAATGAAAGCTAATGAGGCAGGATTTACAAAACCAGGTATGGTTAGCCTGGAGACATGAAAACCCAGCTCCCTACAAGCAAGCCAGAGACTGTCTTATGGAATTAGTCTCTCTGGGTTGCCCCAGAGAATAGGATCAAGATCAATGACCAGAAATCCTAGTGAAGCAGATTTTTGAAGATAACAGAGATGAGGGAAGACATTATAATACCTACGGCAAGCCACAGGCCAAAACAAAAGGGCTATTTGGGGAAGGAGGGAAATTTTCATCCTGGGGCTATTCAAGCAGAAACTGGATGACTTCTTGGTAGGAATATGATTGAATGAGATCAAGCATCAGATAGAAGATCTGAGATCCCTTACAACCCCCAAATTCTATGTTCACTAAACACATGTTGAACTAAAGCCCCAAGGCCCCTTATCCTTGTTCTTCCTCGCCCCAACCGAATGGCATGTAAGTGATCTGGGATTTTACATGAAGGGCTTACAGCTCACCAGCAATTTGCACAGATCCCCCAGGGCATGATTTCCAAAACCCACACCCCAACTTAAGACACCTCAACATGACAACCATACACTACACTTTAGGGCTGTTACCTGGGGCTTCCCCCAGGCTCCATTTGCCATTTTCCTCACACCTTACTGAACACAACTCCCTGGTTTTTTCCTAGGTTAGCTGTAATAACCATTAATCCAGGATCAATGCTGATGCTCCCCACTGGTAATTCACTTTTTTGCATTTTACAAAGCCAAGCCAGACAACTTAATTTGAGAAGCGTGTTGGGAACGTTTTAGCTCTCACTGATTCACGTGGTGTTGCTGGCTCCCACTAGTTTGGGCTGCTCCCCAAAAGTCACTGCCAGTAGGTCAGCAGACAGTGGGTTCTGGGTCCAAGACGCCACTTACCGTAAAATAAAACATTTCTGTTTCCTGCTGGTTGGCTCTCCTTTTGGCGATGTTGATCTTGCTCATGTAGGTCTCGGAGGCGGCCGACTTCACAGACTCTGTAGATCGACTATGCTGGAAGGCATCAGAGACATCGAAGTCCTCCACGGTCAGCATGTCCTGCAAGGTCTGCATGGTGGCATCCAGGGTTTTCCTAACCTGGAGAAACACAGCATGTCAACAAAATCCCTTCTGCCTCAGAACACCTTTCACCCCTCAAGGTCCCTTTGCCCACTTTATTTCTTCCACGTAAAGCCTACAGGAGGTGGGCAGGACAAAGATGATCATTCCCATTATACTGATGTGGAAAGTAAGGCCAGGGAGCTGGCTGGGGTGAGAACCCACGTTGCCCAATCTAAAGTCATTTTATTGGATTGCTTCTGCTGAGGAGAACCTTGGAGAATGTTGTGACGAACAAGGAACCTGGGTTTCTAGGTTTGTTTCTCTTTTCCTGATTATATGGCCCCAAACCAGCTCCTTCTATGGGAGGCAGGTCTCTTGAAGAGGGATGACATTAGAGATACTCTCAGGGCTCATCCAGAGAGAAGAGGGAACAAAGTCTAGATAGGATGAGGGGCCATCCTCAGTGGACAGGCTCTCTGGCTATCCGCCCCTGACTTATCAAAAGGCTGACTGAGAAAAGAGAACTTGAGGAAGACACATGCTGAGCCAGTCCTCCAGGACTCCAACTTCTCTCCTGGAGTCAAGTGGGACCCACAGAAGGCTACACGTGCAGAGCACACGAGCCCTGACCTTGCAACAACCCTTCACTGACTTGTGCCCTATACTTTGATGGAGGGTCACTCCAAAAACAGTGAGGGGGGAAACTGTGTCTACATTCGTTGTTCAGTTGTTGTCACCCGAAGTCTTTGTTGTCATTCAGATCTCAACTGAAATGTCACCTCCTGGTGACATCAGAGCTCCCTGATTACTGTTCCTGACTTAGCGTGCATCACCGTTCAATATTGTGCGTACCCATTCATTTGTCGGTTTGTTTGCTTTCGTGTTTATATCTATCTATCCCTCCTCACTAGAATATAATCTCCATGAGAGGAGGTACCATGGTGTCTTGTTCACTCACTTTACTCTGCATCTAGCACAGTGTTTGGAGCATAGTGTGTGCTTAATAAATACTTGAATAAATACGGGTTGAATGAATACTCGTTGAATGTATAAATGAACAGATCAGTTCTTTCTAAGATAGCCTAACAGAAGTTCAGGTACAAAATTAAGCATTTCCATAGCTATACATGGCCCAATGCAGAGGAACATTTGCTTCATTCTCTCTGGGGCCCTGATTTCCAATTTAAACCCCATCAACATTGATTTGCATATACTGTTCCAAGTAAACAACTGAAAATGCTTCAGGGGAGGATGTAGAACACAAATAAATACAGAAAACACTTTCTTCATCTCCTTTCTCGCCTCAGGTGTGCAACAGAAACATATAATTCATTTCTGTATAACCTCCCCCCAGGGGCAGCTTTGATTCGTTATCATCCCAAGTGACAATCTGTCTCATGTCTATGCTAGCTCTGTGCTTTGTGGAGACACAGAGCAAACCAGCCCTCTCTGCCCAGGACAGCCCTCTTGAGATGTGAAAACAGGGACCGTGACTCCCCACCTCCAGCTGGGATTGCACTCCTCGGTGATAAACCTGACCAAGATTTTAGGTGACATTCCCTGCATCCCGCTTCCTTTCTCCAGGGGCCTCCAGCTGGTCGACCCCCTCCCCGCATGGAGGCATCCAGGCCGGAATAGGATGTTTCCCATCTGGCCTCCTCAGTCCACATCAAAATAGAACCACCGCAGCTGGTGTTTCCATTTGTAAACTCCCAGTGGTGATTCTGTGTCCCCAGCTCCATTGGAGGCGCGCTGGCCATGATAAGACAGACATTCCTTGGAGCTCACAATCCATGACACATTTAGTGTGCCCTGGCTTATTTCATTGTGTCATTTAAAATACATGTAACTATCTTTGATGATAAAAATAACACAAACTCAACGCAGATACTAGAGAAAAGCATAAGAAAACAGAAATCACCTGTAATTCTTCTACCCAGATATAACCACAATGAACATTTCAAAGTATTTCCTTCCAGGCTTTTTTCTTGTGAATAAACACAGACACATAGAATCCTACTCTAGTTTACCATTCTTAGGATAATACTGAACACAGAGTTCTACTTTTTGTTTTTCTTTAACATCTTGTGAGCATCCCCCCAAGCCATTAAAGATTCTTGGTGTGCCCAGTTTTAATGGTCATGTAATAATCCATCCTTTTTTTAAGATTTATTTATTTTAGAGAGAGTGAGAGTGGGGGAGGGGGAGAGGGAGACGGGGAGAGAATCTTAAGCAGGCTCCACACCCAGCACGCAGCCCCATGTAGGGCTCCATCTCATGACCCATGAGATCATGATCTGAGCTGAAATCAAGAGTCGGATGCTTAACTGACTGAGCCACCCAGGCGCTCCCCCCACCCCATCGTGTAATAATCTATCTTACAGATGAACCCTAATTTCTTATGCGTTCCATGGCCAGAGTTCCAGCACAAGCCGGGCCTTCGTCAGGAAATCCCTTGCAGGGCAGAGGGGCCCACTCACCTCCTCATTCTCTATCTTGAGAGTGGCCAGTCTGGACTGCAGCTGGTGGTACCGCATGAGCAATTCCGTCTGGACGGGCTGCTGAGCACTGACCTGGCAGACCTGTGAAAGGACAGCCACCAACTGTGGTTGCCTGGGGCTCTTAACCACCTGGGTGGAGCCACGGCCGGGGCCACCACTGACGTCCCTACCAACGGCCAAGGAGACAGGCTTGGAAAGGTGAAGTGACCTGCCCAACATCACAGAGCTTGCACCTGGCAACACCAGACCGGAACCAGGGCTCTTCCTCCTCCGAGGGCCACCCTCTCACATTGCAAGTTGTGGCCTCTCGGTCATGGCCTTCGAGATGTGCGCAGCCCTTGGGGGTTTAATCAAGAGCTTTAATGTAATCTCATTAAGTGAGACTAGCTCATTTCAAGGCAGGAATTTGTGATAAAGCAACAGACAGATGCCAATGAGAAGAACGGTGAATGGAACCATTCAGTGGAGCACTCCGATGCCCCAGCAGGCAGGTGCTTCAGTGAGGCAGAGCACTCTCAGGGGGCGCGGGAGGAAAAGGTGGATGCAAATACTGTTCTCCCTGCACCCACTCCACCCAGGGCTCTGCTACTACCCTGTGGGCTGGGCCACCTGGCGTGACTCAGGGGAGATCACAAGGGAGAACAGGGCTATGTGATTGGCTGTCATTTACCACTAACTAGGCAGTCACCCCTGGTGACTATGAGGCCAGAATTTTCAGGTCCAGAGGATGGACCAAAGGGCTGGACGCAACAGCTGAGGGATGGGCCAGAGGCTGTGGGGAGGCCCCGCAGAAGTCCTCTCTTTTGCAAATGAAGAAAGTGGGGAGGGATGCAAAGGAAAAGTTCAAGGAGCTTTTTGCATGAGGGCCTTTGTACAACTGGAGGCATCAGTGCAGCCAGTAACAAGTGCCTTTCCCCAGGTACTTATTTATCTATTCCAGAACACAGCAAGGAGCTGAGCAGCACAAGCACTGAAGGGAGCGCAGTTGGAGACACGCCTCCTGGACCGGAGGACAGGCAGCGCCCCGGCAAGGCTGCTGGCCAGAGTGACTGAGGTGACACCCAGCCTCCCGTGATCCGAGGTCACCCGACGGAAGACAGGGAGATGCCTGTGTGGCGATGCGGGACTCCCTTGGGGTCTTCACATAACTAGGAAGGATCTGAGGGAGAGCGGAGGTCCTGCACTTCTGCGGGCGAGATACTTCAGCCAGCAAAGTCAGGATATTAGTGGTAAATGCCTAAGCTGGGCAGCCCCTGGACCGAGAACTTGACCTCAGGCCTCTGAGAGAAATGTCTCGTATGTGAACGGGGGCTGGTGTCTCCCCCTCCCACCGATGTTCTGGGAGCCCCTGGGAGAAGAGGCGGAAGCAGCCTCCGGCATGGGCTCCTTAGAGAAACCTACCTCATCCCCCATGTGGGGCTGGAACTCAAACTTGAGCGGGGGACAGAAGACCTGGTTGCACATGTCCATGACTGTGTGCTTGTCACTTCGGGAATCCAGGTTGTCCACCGCGTTCTCGATGACGTCCAACCCCTCGTGGCGAGAGGTCTCCAGGTTGTACTCAGCCGAGAGGTAGGTCCGGAAGGTGCGGGCCAGGCTGGCATGAAAGCCCAGATCACAGCACTTGGAGAGAGGCACACAACACAAGGGTGCGGGTAAGGGCTGTTACATGGAGGTGGGGGCTGCCGGCATTCCCTTTCCCATCACGGTGACTTAAGATGACCTCCCATTCCACAGTCAAATCTTTCATCCCGGAGGCCCTGGTACACTCTGGACTCCTACGGCACAAATCACCCCAAAGCCTTCAGAGGGAGCTGGGGAGTGTGATTTGGGCAGCAGCAGAACTTCTCCTAGCTCCCCAAAGTCATCACATTCTTTCTCATCTCTAGCCCTTCACACATGTATTCCCTCTGCCTGGAATAGGGTTTCAGTTCAGAGGTGACTTCTTCCAGGAAGTCTTCCATGATGTTCTCCCCACTCAGAGTTTATGCCAGGCATCCCTCCTCTAGGAGTCCACATCTCCCTCCACCTCCCTCACTGGGACACCTGCCACTTGGCTTTGCAGCTGCCTATTAATGTGTCAGGGTTAGGCACTGCAAGTTCCATGAGGGCAGACCCACAAGTTCTTGTCCATTGCAGTGGCTCAAGACCTAGGGCTAGTAGATGTTCAAGAAAAATGTGGTAAATGAAGAAAGGAGAGGACTGGAAAGAGTGAAAAGTTTTGAGAAAGCAGAGGGGTCTGGCCTCAGGCATGGGAAGGCACAGCCAGGGCTGAGCAGCATCCTCTCCTGGGGATGGAGGCAATGGGTCCCTTCTGCAGCCCTGGAAAAGCGGTGACCGTCTGACTTCCTGACAGAGGAACAGGATCCATCCACCAGTACGGAACCTGTCCTGAGCATCTGCGGGCCAGACCCCTGTCTGCGTGGGATGGGCGGGACACAGGAAGCAGCCCCGGCTCCGACACAGATGATGCGGAAGCTCTCCATGATGATGACACTCGTGATGTTCTTTCTCCAACCCAGCTGCCCCTCCAGCGAAAGCTGGACAGCTGCTACTCAGGAGTCAGTGTTCTACTCTTCGTTGGCTAAAACTGCCTGATTACTCCCATGATAATAACCCCTAAACCTACACACATCTACACCACCCTGGGAAACGGTGTGTGATCACCCCTGTACCCCCAAACCCAGCAAAGGGCCTGGGGCAGAGGAAGGTACTTGGAAAGGGCAGGTGGAATAGAGGCCTGCCTGACCCAACCACGTGGAGGCTGCCAGAGGCCCACTCCCACCCATGGGTGTAGAAACCAGGAGGTGATACTCATCTCCCAGGCCCCAGACGCCCATTACCCTGCCCTGCCATCAGGGCTCAAGGGACATGCACATCAGCTTCAGACAAGGGCCGGCCTGGGACTAGTCCCGGACTCCCCAGGTGCTCACATCGATTAGGTCGGAGACGTCGTGGATGTAGTATTTGCTGATAGCTGCATTGGTGGCCGCCAGATTCAGCAAGTAGTCGTTCCGGGCCTTTGTGCATTTCAGCTTGTTCTCAGAATACTTGGCCTGCCTCTGGAAGGAGAACAGAGTAGAGGTGAGAGCTGAGGCATTGACCTGGTTCTCGGCCCTCTCTTGAACCCTCTTCCTTCCGGCTCCATGTTGCCCAGCCTCCTCTGCCCTTCCCTTAAGAGGCCAAGTTCACTCCTGCCTCTAGGCCTTCAGACTCGTTCCCTCTGCCTGGCAAGCCATCCTTCCAAGTCCCTACGTGGCCTGCCTCGTCACAGCCTTCAGGTCCTTACCCAAGGTCATGTGGTCAGAGCGGCCTCTTGTCTGGAAGTGAGGCTTCAGCGTCCACACTGCCCCCCACCCTGCATTCCCTTGCCCGGCTCTATTATTTTCATTTATTCAGTCCTTGTTCAATTTTTAGTGATTATTCTTATTTTAATTTACTTTTTCAAAGACTATATTTTTAGAGCAGTTTTAGGTTCACAGCAAATTTGAGAGGAAGATACAGAGATTTCCCATACACCCCATGCATAGCCTCCCCTGTTATCAATATCCCCCACCAGAGGGTACATTTGTTACAACTGATAAACCTACAGTGACACATCATAGTCACCCAGAGTCCCTAGTTACATTAAGGCTCACTCTTGGTGTTTCATATTCTATGGGTTTAGGCAAATATATAATGATGTATATATCCACCATTATAATATCAAACAGGGTAGTTTCCCTGCCCTACAAATACTCTGTGCTCCATCTATATCCATCCTTCCCTGCCACCTAAGCCCCTGGTAAACACTGATCTTTCTCCTGTCTCCATAGTTTTGCCTTTTCCAGAATGTCATTTAGTCGGACTCATACAGTATGTGGCCTTTTCAGATTGGCTTCTTTCACTTAGTAATATGCACTTAAGGCTCTTCCATATCTTCTCAGGGCTTGCTAGCTCATTTCTTTGTAGCACTGAATAACATCCCATTGTCTGGATGTACCACAGTTTACTTACCCATTCACCTGCTGAAGGACATCTTGGTTGCTCTATTTTTCTTCCTAAGCATTGTTCACCACCTGAAATTCTATTTTTTACCTCTTTGTTGACTTGCTGGCTTTTGGTGTCCACCACTAGAAAGTAAGTTCTAGGAAGTCAGGGACCTGATCTGCCCTATTCATCACTGGGCCTGTAGCACCCAGAACTCTCTGCACAAAGTAGGCATTAAGCACTTTTCACTGGCTGTCTGGACATGAATGGTGGGAGAGGCAGAGTGGGCAGCTAGAGGTGCTAGTCTTGGCCAGGAACTGGATGGCTTCCCTAGGAAGCTGCTTCAGTCCTGGGCCAGCCTGGGCAGGTAGAGGTAAAGAGAAAGTGGGTTGGAGAGTTGTCCACTTGCCCCTTTCAGGCGATGAGTCCCATTCTGGGTAGAAAAACAGCTCTCCTTAAAGAAACAGGATTTCCCCCCTTTACCTAGGCACTCTTAAATCTTCCTTATTCCAAGCAAAACTATGGAAATGGCCCCAGTGTCCACTGATGGATGAATGGATAAAGATGTGGTGTGTGTGTGTGTGTGTGTGTGTGTGTATACACATACACGCAGTGGAATATTATTCAGCTATAAAAAGAATGAAATCTTGCCACTTGCAACAACATGGATGGACCTAGAGGGTATAAGGCTAAGTGAAATAGTCAGAGAAAGACAAATACCATATGATTTCACTCATATGTGAAATTTAAGAAACAAAACAAACAAACAAAAAGAGACAAACAAAAAAATCACAACTCTATAGCAAACGCCCCGGTGTTTACCAGAGGGGAGGTGGGTTGGGGGATGGGTGAAATAGGTGACAGGAATTAAGAGTACACTAATCATGATGAGCACTGAGTCATGTACAGGACTGTTGAATCATTATATTGTACATCTGAATCTAATATACTGAATGTTAACGATACTGGAATTAAATTTTGTAAAAATTTAAAATTTTTAAAAAAGCACCTTTTTTATTCCAGATCGAGTTCTCCTAGCTATTTAGTAGAGATGCTTCCATGTCAACCTTTGAATTCTCTTCAGAGATCTCCTCTGACCTTTCCCCAGGGTCTGCGTAGTCTAGGAAACAGACTTCTCCTGGTACTACAGTCCCATACGAGCCATGCACCCGCCCCCTCACAGAGAGCTTTGATACTCCTCACCCATTTCCAGGGGGCTACAATGATCCCCCCAGACCACTTTCAGCCCTACATGGATTCATAAAATTTTATACCTAGAAAGGATGTTAAAGGTATCTTAGTTTAATTCACCCATTTTACAGATGAGAAAATGAAAACCAAAAAGATTTAGTAGCTTGGGGGCATCTGGCTGGCTCAGTTAGTAGACCATGTGACTCTTAATGTCAAGGTCATGAGTTCAAGCCCCACGTTGGGTGTGGAGATTACTTAAAAAAAAAAAAAAGTGGCTTGTCCAAAAGCCAAATGGATAATTAGCATATAACTCTGAACTAAACTTAGTCTCCAGACCTCCCAGCAGGCGGTCTCTCTTCCCTTCTATTTATCCCCCATGTTGTAGTTCTGTAATTCCCTGCCTGCCTGTCTTATTTTTATTTATTTATTTATAGTATATTCACAGAGTTGTACAACAATCACCACTATCTAAATTTAGAATATTTTCATCAGCTCAAAAAGAAACCCTCTACCCATTAGCAGTCACTCTCCATTCTCCTCTGCCCTAGCTCCTGGCAACCAATAACCTACTTTCTGTCTCTATGTATTTGTCTATTCTGGACATTTCCTATGAATAGAATCATAATATTGTGACTGGTTTTTTTCACTTAGCATACTGTTTTCGAGGTACACTGTGTTGTAGTCTTCACCAGTACTTCATTCCTTTTCCTGGCTGAATAATATTCCACCACATGGCCAAACCACACTTTATTCATCCAGGTAGACATCTGGATTATTTCTACCTTTTGGCTATTATGAATAGTGTTGCCAGGAACATTCATGTGCAGGTTTTTGTGTGGATGTATGTTTTCATTTCTCTGAGTGGACACCTATGAGTAGAATTGTTGAGTCATAGGATAACTTTATGTTTAACATTTTGAGGAACCGACAAATTGTTTTCCAAAGTGGCTAAACCATTTTATGTTCCCTCCAGCAATGTATAAGGGTGCCAATTCCTCTGCAACCGCACTAACACTTGTGATTGTCATCTCTTTTCATTTTAGCCAGCCTAGTGGGTATGAAGCGGTATCTCACTGGGGTTTGGATTTGTATTTCCTTAATGACTAATGATGCGGAGCACGTTTTCATGTGCTCCTTGGCCACTCCCGTAAGTTCTTCAGAAAAATGCAATTCAAATCCTTTACCCATTTTTAATTGGGTCTCTGCCTAATTATTGAGGAGCTTGCTTTTCTTTGCCTTTGGAAATTACCCTGGAACCTTATTTTATTTGCCTATGGCTACTTTTCCAGCTCACCCAGGCCCTGGTGAATTTTGTTTCCACTCAATCTCCTATCATTTTTAAGAGCTACAGGATCATGTAATCATAGAATGAGACACAGAGAAGCCCAAATAAATATCTGGTGCAATGCTGGCACATAGAAAGAGCTCAGGAAATGTTTACTGATTGCATGGAATGAATAAATGCAGAGAACTCAACAAGAAAGTCATAGCTTTTACAAAGAAACTTTAGAAGTAAACTAGGCTAGGATAACAAAAACACGTGTGCTGCCCCTCTAAATTCCCTGGCCATCACAGACATCATTAACTGATCACAGCTCTGTTTTTAACTAATGCCTGGAGGGAGCTTCACAATCTTCAACACAGAGCTCTGGGAAGCTACTACCAATCGATCAGAGTTGACCTGAGAGAGAAGTGTCATTTGCCCTCACTGTCAGATTTTAAAACCGAGGCTCAGAGAAGTACTGTAAATGGGGCACTTTCAAAACCCAGACTGCGTGACTCCAAAACTATCACTCATTTCACTGTGCCCTACTAAAGCACTTGTCCAGCACCAAGACACGGTGATTCTAAATCTCCCATCTTTGGCTTGCGAGCAGCATTCTGGAATGGGTTCTTTATTGGGTTCCCAGGTACTGGTTGGTAGCCCAGTGCTGTTTCCTCTTACTGGGACACGCTCAGCCCCAACCAGCCCTCCAGCCACAAAATGGCCTCCTGAGCAAGCCCCAGCCCCCACAAATGCCTGGTGATTCCTGCCCATCCGAGAATGTGCTTGCTGCGCGAGTCTTGTCACAGTTCAGCTCTCTTGTCAGCTGAGTGCTTTCCCTGCCTGTTGATCCTGGCACGAGGCCAGGCCTAACAAGTGCTAGCGAGGCACGGCCAGCCCTGCCTCCTCCATGACACTGACCTCCAAGAGTGCGCCTGCTGGCACCATGCTTCTATCCCCCCACCCCTCAGGGTGCAGAGGGGGAAGCCGAGGCTGTCAGCAGGGAGTACGCCCCCCTCCTTGCCCTGCCAGTTTCTCCTAGGCCCTCACTCACCTTCTCCTTCATCTTCTCAATCTTCTTCACAGAGCTGCGGCGCTGGGGCCGGTCCTCGTGCCGCAGCAGGTTCATGCTGAGGTCTCCCGACTTGTTGAATTGCTTCTCCTCCTGCTTCTCGGCCTCCTTCAGCTTGCTTTCTGCGCTGATGCTCTCCGCGTGGTACATGTGGTAGGTTTTCATGACCTGGGGAAACACACGGGCAGGAAATCAGCAGCCTGCAGGCCCGGCATGAGGCCCCGGGGCTCCCAGCCCCCTTCAGGTTCTGCGTGCCAGTAAGCTGTACCCTGCCCTCTTCCCACCACACACTCTGAGCTCCCCACGGTGCTTTACTTGCACACAAGCTCTGTGGACTGGAAACGATGATGATCATCAGTAGCAGCTTCACTGCCATTATCATCCTCAGCAACATCATGAAGTCCTTACTGAATGCCAGGAATGGATGAGTCCATTTAAAAGCCCCCGTGCATTTGGGGGTCTCAGAGGTGATGAGACATACTTGGCCCTCCCTCAGCTCCCCTCTTTGGCCCTGCTAGCCATGACTCTTGTCCCTTTCCTCCTCCCCCCCGCCCAGGGTCCCTGGGAAGGCCCCTCCTCAGGTACTCGTGGAACTTCCATGGGAACATGAAAATCGTTTTCTCAGCTGTTTTCTTATTGACCTGCAAATGGCTCTGTCCCCAAAAGGAGTATTACTGGATATACTAATTGCTATTCTATGCTTTCTGAAATAAACTCAGCCTTGGCTATACAATGAATTCCCGCAAAGCAAACCACACTTTGCTCTTCTACTCCCATAGTAAAAGTCAGATATTGTTATAACACGGGAGTCTTTGAGACAGAAGAAATCCTAGACGTTATCTAATCCAACCGTCAAATTTTACAAATAGGGAAACTCACGCCCAGAAGGACAAAGTGACTTATCCACAATTGTACAGTCATCAGTGTAATCTCCAAACTTTGCATCCGTGGGGCCAACACCACAGTCAAGCTATAGAACACTTCCACTACACCACAAAGATCCCTACCCCCTCCCCCAGCCCCAGACAATCACTGATTTGCTTTCTGTCACTGTAGTTGAGTTTTGTGTGTTCTAGAACTTCATATACACGGAACCAAAGCATATAAATTCTTTGGTGTCTGCCCTCTTTCGTTCAGCATAATTTTTCTCCCATGTTGTATCAGTTTTTTATTGCCAAATAGTATTGCATTGTATATCTATATCACTATTTGTGTATTTATTCATGTTAATAGTTACTTGGGTTGTTCACAGTTTTGGTCTGTTATGAATAAAGCTGCTAAAAGTGTTCATGTATAATTCTTGGTGTGGACATACGTTTTCATTTCTCTCAGGTAAATACCTAGGAGTGGAATGGAGGGTCGTATAGGAAGAGTACGTTTAACCAAATTAGAAATCTGGTCTCTGACTTTTAATCCACCACTCCTTCTACCATAACATACTGTTTCTGTAATTCAATACCATTTTCTCAGCAGGTATGAACAGTTTGGGCAGCCTTAGAGCAAGCCGGGCAGTCCCATACCAATAGGCCTCTATCTCCCGGTCCCCAACCAGGAGTACACCTTTCCTGTGCAATATCAACTTTATGATCATCCTTCTGTGCTAAGAAACACAAGAAACTTCTGGATTCCATGGCTCCTGAGCCTTGTTTGTTCTCTTTTCTTGTTTGGATAATTACAGCAGCTAATAGAACAGAAGCTTCTATGTGGGGCTGGGATATGCTCCTCCCTAGCGGGGCCATTTATTTTATTTTATTTTTTTTTAAGATTTTATTTATTTATTTGACAAAGAGAGACACAGTGAGAGAGGGAACACAAGCAAGGGGAGTGGGAGAGGGAGAAGCAGGCTTCCCGCGGAGCAGGGAGCCCGATGCGGGGCTCGATCCCAGGACCCTGGGATCATGACCTGAGCCGAAGGCAGACGCTTAACGACTGAGCCACCCAGGCGCCCCTAGCAGGGTCATTTAAATCAGGGAACTTGGAATGGATTCCTGACCAGCATTATAACCTTATTCATTCCCGTATGACGTCCTGCGAAGTGAGTTTATTATAATCAAGATTTATTCTGTAACTCTTACTATTAAATCACAGCAGTGATCTGTTGCAAGAAAGTTAATGGGGGGAACATCTGTTGTAGAACATGGTAGGTATTCTAGAATATGAACTCTGGTACAAATGTCTGGGCTGAATCCTGATGGTGCCACTTACCAGGTGTGTGACCTTGGGCAAGTCACGGAACTTCTCTGACCTCTGCTTCCTCACCTGTAAAATGGGGATAACCACGGCACCTACCTCATAGATTTGTTATGAAGACTAAATGAGTTCATTTAGGTAAAGTGCTAAGAACAGTATGAGCCACGTAGACATCAGCTGCTAAAACCACCACCACCGTCATCATCACCCCTGATTTGGGCTGAGGGTTTGAGAACCTTGAATTTACTCACTTGACTTCAGGAAAATGCTTACAAACTCTAAAGAACATTAGCTAATATGCAAAATTTTATTCTATACCATCTTTCTCCTTCCTCTTTCATCTTGAAAACCTTCCCAAATTTCAAAACAATAAATGAATAAAAGATGTATTCAACTTTTCTTCATTGGTCTTGGCGGAAGACCTCTTCTCTGCATCCCAGCCACGGCTGAGTTTTTGAGTTGCCCTAAAGCCTCTAGAGATGCCATTCTCCGAGATTTCATCCACTCCTTATGCCAGTTCCACTAAGCTTATTTCCAAACTCAGTGGACCTAAGTGTGCCAGACTGATGTGTTCTCGACATCTAGTGGCCAAAAGGAATGACTGCAGGCTCATAGGTAACCAAAGCAATGACCAATTTTCAAACCATCTTTATTAGACCAGGGCTCCCTCAATGTCAGGCGGCTAAGACTTGGGACTGCCTGCTGAAGTCTGTCTCTCAGGCCCCTGCCTTTCTGTTCTCAAAGCTTTTCTCTTTTCCTCCACATTCACCACTGGTTTCTTTGCTTCTCTACCATGCTGCTGGTGGTGTTCATTTCTGGACTCACCCCTTTCTGGGTTCAGTGATTCCTGCTAAAGCCACTTTTTCTGTTTCAGCTGCTAAAGTCTGCTTATCTCACCACTAATCTATCATCTGTGTTGAGCAGTTCAGAGGAAGAGAGAGCATTTCTATTTGTAATTAGATCTTCCTGTCCAATCATCCATGCATCCATCCATCTATTCACTCAAGGTCAGCATCCCAGCTGGGTGTTCTCAGCCTCCCACATTTCCCTTTGCCTAGTTTTCCACTCGAACCACAGAGTACTCTTCCTGCTCTGCAACAAACCAAGCTTCCCAGTACACTCTCTGAATTGAGTTACGAAAGTCCCATGCTTGGAGAACATAGCCAGAGGACCCTGGGACCAAACTGTCAGTGATCCAATTGGTAATTCCTGATCCTAAGAACAACAATGAACTTGATTGCCCAGGGTGATTTATGTCAGACAGCTGCCACGAAAGAGTTTACCTGGGGACCTCTCAGAAATCAGTCTAACTATATCTAGAATCCTCTAGACGTTTCCTTATTTAATTACCTGAAACACAGGCTTTAGCATGAAAGGTCCTTAGCTCAATAGCTTGGAAGAGTCTGTTCAATATTGCCAGTCCAGGATGCGTTAAATAATATTTAAACTTATCAATTACTTCACAGTCTGCAAACCTCTTTTTTTTTTTTTTTTTTTTTACCTCCAAGGAGCATTTCAATTAATCTTCACCCCAACCCTGGGAGGCAATATGATACCAATAATGGTGATAGCAGCTAACATTTAGTGAGCACTTACTACATGCCCAGCCTTGTTTTAAGCACTATACATATATTAACTCTTCTGTCTCTCACAGAAACCCTAGGAGGTAGACACCACATGACCTCTGCTTTACAGATTCAGAAACCACAAAATAGGGATGAAGGGATCCTCTACCCCACAGGGACTCAGGAGACCTGGTTTTGAGACTCAGCCCTCTCCTCTAAACTTGCTGGGTGACTGGCAGCAGCTCATCCTCTGTGTGCCACCTGATGGAGACCAGAATGGGGGTGGATAGGAAGGTGCTCCATAAGTTGTAACTATAAAGTGACTGGCTGACAGCAATGTCAGGGCTGGAAAGGCAGCAGAGGTGGATGCAAGAGTTCAGCTGAGGCCAAGACACTGAGACCCAGCCTTCACCTTGGCCCCTCTGAAGAGCCCCTCAGAGGCACATGCCTGGCTTAATGGGATGTTCACGTTCCAACCCTCCAGACCCTATCAGGGAGGACCCTTGGAACAAGTCTAGCACGGGCCGAGAAGGACCCTGTAGGGACATATAAATTGAGACCACTGTTCTTCGACACAGATCAGTTTCATACATTCTCAAAAGGCTCTGCAGAAATCTTGGTGTATTAACCCAAAATTGAAAGAAACTGAGGCTCAGAAGTGACAAGTGAATTGTACAAAGTCACACAGCAAGCCAGATAGCTAGAACTTCTGAGCTGTGGACACTGCTGTTTGTACTAATCACGCTGCCTTCTGCTGCATACACTTTGCTTTCTGCATCTTCCCAAATCCTCAGATCACAAAAGCAAGAAAGTAATATATGCATAGTCCTTCGGACCCTCGTTTAAATGCAAAAGAAGCCAAAGAAAATATAGAAGTTGACAGCATCAAAAAAGGCACATGCTGGAGCAAGATAAGAATTCGCTGTTTGACAATAGCTTCTCGACAGTGAAGTTCACTTGCACTTCTCTACCCCAGAGGCGGGGCCATCTCTGAGCCATCCAAGAGCTGTGTATGGGTGAAATCCTGGGCCAGTGCATGCCAAAGACATCCCTGAAGGAAAAGCGAGTTCCCAAATTTCAGTATGACCACGCATACTCTGCGTGGCCTACATTCTCTCTAGAATTTATAACTGTTATCTTATTTACTCGTTTTGCACATCTACACACTGTCTCACTGCAACTAGAGTGCAAAGTCCATAGGGCCAGGATCTTGTTCATGAACATATTCCCTGTACTAAAGCAGAGAGTGGTACCCAGCAAGTATCAGTATATATTTGCATGAATGAATGAATGACAGCTGGCTGGACGTATAGGTGGAAGGCTGGATGGATGGAAGGATGGATAGATAGGGAGATGGTTGAATGGACAGTTGGGTGGGTGGGTAGATGGATGGATGGAAGGATGGATGGAAGG